CTGATTTGAGTGACCTGCAACTCTCTTAACAACAAACACTATCAACCATGGAGGTTCAGATCTTTTCTTTCTTCTTAGTCAGGACAGTGACCACTTCCTGCTGCAATTCAACACCAGCTGTACTTCATGTCTGAACCATATTTAAATATATGACATTCCTCTTGTCTTCACCACAATGAGGACAATACAGGACATGCATTCATGCTGTTTTCTCTCCTGTCTCTTCCCTCCCTCCACCTGCTTTTTGTAACACTCTGCCTGAAGGAGTCTTTTGGCCCAGAAATGTTGCACACAATTTGGTCTCATTTCTGCCTTTTGTTCTAGCTGGCCGAACAGAAGTATCAGCCTGGTGCAGATTTTGGATTTTGTTGCTCAGCACTGTGTTATTTCAGCATAAGCATCTGTTATGAAAAAAATAAAAACAAAAAACAAACTCCGAGGTGGGGAGGCTCCCTCTTCTTTGGGCCAAAGGGAAGTGCACATAAAAGCAAACATATTATCTAATAGTGCACCACCATTGGTTACTAGTCTTCCTTTACACCTCAATGTAATGCAGTAGCTTCTAAGCAGCGAACACTGTGAACCGGTTCAAATTTAGCCTCCTCTATGACCTTCCATAGTCATGCGAGACAACACATCCCCTCACGTCCCCAACAGCCATTTTCTAGCAGCACTGTAGCCAGGTGGTGCTACCCTAAGGGTTACTAAAACCTGCTCTATGTCCACAGTACAGTTTAATGGGAGACTGGGCTGTACAACTTTAGCCTGCATCCCAGAGTAAAGCTTTAAAATTATCCAATAGAAAATGCATATGTCAACATTACTTCTGACAATTTGCCACTGAAGCTACTCCCATGGGTATATGTAATAGGACTCAGGCTGCTGGGGCATTCCTTCCGTCCTTTTTAACCTAAGGCCAGAGCTTGGAAAAGTAACTTTTTTGAATTACAAGTCTCCAAATTCCCAGTCATCAGAGCCGGTGGCCTTCCCAAACTCTGCCTAAGATGAATGTATCTGACACACTACAACTGCAGTGGTTAAATTGCAGGACTGCAGTCAAGCCTCTGTTCATGACATGAGTTCCGTCTTGATGGGTTCATGTAGCCAGCTCAAAGCTGACTCAGCCTTCCATCCTTTCGAGGTTGGTCCAATGAGTACCTAGCTCGCTAGGAAGACAAGGTGTTTGCATAAGTATATTGCAAACTGCCCAGAGAGAGCTCCAACACTATGGGGAGGTATATAAGTGAAAACAATAACCACCTCTGTAAAGTACAGTACTAGATAAAACACTAGATTGTTGCTGTTGTTGTTCTTTAGTCGTTTAGTTGTTTCCGACTCTTTGTGACCCCATGGACCAGAGCATGCCAGGCCCTCCTGTCCTCCACTGCCTCCCGGAGTTGGGTCAAATTCATGTTGGTCGCTTCGATGACACTGTCCAACCATCTCCTCCTCTGTTGTCCCCTTCTCCTCTTGCCCTCACACTTTTCCAACATCTGTGTCATTTCCAGAGAGTCTTCTCTTCTCATGAGATGGCCAAAGTATTGGAGCCTCAGCTTAAGGATCTGTCCTTCCAGTGAGCACTCGGGGTTGAGTTCCTTCAGAATGGATAGGTTTGTTCTCCTTGCAGTCCAGGGGACTCTCAAGAGCCTCCTCCAACACCACAATTCAAAAGCATCAATTCTTCGGTGGTCAGCTTTCTTTATGGTCCAGCTCTCACTTCCATACATCACTACAGGGAAAACCATAGCTTTGACTATTCGGACTTTTGTTGGCAAGGTGATGTCTCTGCTTCTTGATTGTTGCTATCATTAAGGAAAGCAGAGAAAGCCGTGCACTTGAACTGAAGAGGGGGCCACACTGTTTCCAGCTCCCTTTCCTACAGGGAGGAGAAAGTGTAATCCAGAATATCCATCACTATTAAAAAAAGTCTTAACTGGAGACTGCAATGGGAGAGTAGGGAGAACGTTATTATGGAGCCGTTCCCAACAGGATGGAGAAGTGGGTGCTTGAAATGGAGGTTGGGTCTCGAGAACCTGCAGAGAGGGGTGGGTGGGTTTGGATGATCTGAATATGTAGCACTGCTTTTGAAGGAAACGGACTCTTTTCCCATCACCTCTTCTGCCCTCCTTCTCTGCAGCTGTCTCGCCCCCTTCTCCCTTCACTGAATGAAACCAGGTTGCTGCTAGTGGCAGTTTTATGAATGCAGCTGCCGGGCCCTGGAGACAGGAAAGAGGAAGATCAGCCAGAAGAAACTCCTTATTCCCCAATCCTGCACCGTTTCTCAATCCTCTCCTTATCTCTTCTTCCCCCCCAGCTGCACAATTCCTAAACTCCACTTGCTAGAGGCTGAAGAAAGCGTGACAGAAAAGGAGGGCACAGAAGGAACAAGGAAAAGGCAGGCAGATTGCCAAGCTTTCCGATACGGCGCGAACTGCCAGTTAGTACTGCATCTTCTTTTACTCCCCTGGGGGGTGGGGGGGGGGAGAAAGAGAAAAGGGAGGGGGGAGGGAGAGAAGGATGGAGGGAGAAAAGAGATGAGGAAGACAGCGGTGCTGCATTCACTGCAGAGGTCTCTTTCTCTCAGCTGCAGAGACACTTTAAAAGGCAAGTTATTGCGACAGCTACCCTCCGTTCACAGTGTGTGTTTAAAAGCAGTGTATAGATGGATGGGTGGATAGATCTGCAGAGATCAAGGGCTGCACTCTTGTCTGCAACACAGTCACACACTGTTATGCTACTCTGAGGCTGCATCTGAACAAAAAGGTTGGCAACCACTTGCCCCTGGGCCAAATGAGCTTCTGGGAACATACTTTTTCATCCCCTAGTTACCATCCAATCCAGAAGGCGATGGAAAGTATACAGTGTATGTCAGTTCTCCTTCCAGACCATTTCACAACCTCTGAGACTTCGTGTTGTTTCATGTTCTAAGCTTCTTGGCCTTGTTCTTCTGTCATTGTTATGCGGTGTCAAGTCACATCTGGTCTGCCTTAAGGTGACCCCAGCAGGGTTTTCAAGGTACGTGAGTCATTTAAGGAGTGGTTTTACCATTGCTCTCCTGTTCCCCCCCCCACGAGTTTTCACAGCTGAGCCCGAGTCCAAGGCTTAGTTTATCCACCACAACACACTGGATCCATATGTTGTTCTCCTGGATCCTAAAAACACAGACTCTTTCCCATATAAATCCTTTTGAGAAAAGGGAGGTAATGAGAAGGAAACTATTGCTATTAAGTTTCCTTCCAATTAGAACCCAATTAATGGTAATAAAAGCACTAATGTACACTCTCTTTCAAAGGCCGAGACTTGTGCACCACCTTCTCCCAAGATGGAAACCTACTATGCCAGCCCTGCAGTGAGTGGCACCCCGCCTTCTAGCCCTGTAACTCAAGCTTTACCCCAGAAATCACCTTGTTTCTTCCCCCTTTCCTGGCTTTCTGGAATGCCATCTTGCCAAGCCATATACTGCCCTTTTGCAGTACAGAGCTGCCCACAGGGGCAAAGGAGCCTTCCTCTTCCTCCAGATCCTAGCAATCCTGGCTTTCAGCCTGGCTGCCCCAAAGGAGAGGATCAAAAGCAAAGAGGACATATATTAAACAACAGTCATAAACATTTGGTGCAGCATGAGCCACATGCTTGTCAAACCACAGCCAAAATAAAATTAACCAAACCTTTGGACAGGACAGATAGGCACGTGCACACGCACACAGGGCTAGAAAAACTGTCCGACACCTGAACTGCTGCCAGGCCACGAATACCCACACACACGCACACACACACACACAGACAGGGCTAGAAAAACTGTCTGACACCTGAACTGCTGCCAAGCCACGAATACTAAAGGGTGCACAGACTCTAGACCTGTTGGGTTGCTTTTTTCACTAGAACCCTGAAATCTACCAACTGAAGCCAGATCTGAGCAGTGGGGGAGGAAGGTAGCCATAGAACTGCAGGACAAGCTACCCCTGCATGCCTGCCTAGCCTAGAAATGTTTTTTGGGGGCAATGGGGTGCCCAAACTCACACACAATTTAGTCCCATCCCCACATTTATTGATTTCACCCTAATTTAGAAGAAACCCTTTTCATTTTTTGCTGATAAGCCACTGGGAATTGGAAATCTTTGTTCATATCCTGAAGATTACCTGGAGACCTATCTCTAGATCCTGAAATTCACCCACCCACTTACCCCAGCATAGGAAATACTGTACTAAACGGGTTGGAGGTCTAATCCAGCATTGGAAAGTTTCTGCTTCTCTTTCAGACGGCCAACAGTTGAAGCTGAGTGCATCTGCTCACTAAACCCAGAACCCCAATTATAATACAAGGATAAGTATCATCTAACACACTGGTTCTTAACCTTGGGTTACTCAGGAGTTTTGGACTGCAACTCCCATAAGTCTTCACCACCAACTGTGCTGGCTGGGGTTTCTGGGAGTTGCAGTTCAAAAACATCCGAGCAACAAAGGTTAAGAACCACTGATCTAACACATTGCTTTGCACATAAGATTCTCACTGACTTGTGAGGGTGTGGAGAAGACATTGCAGGAGAGGGAGATCAGCCAGAATTTGTGGCATTTATTGTATTCAGCAGTGAACGTGTGTGTCAGGATATCACACAAGGCAACCCTAGGCAGAGCTTGGAAACATGGCTTTTGGGGGCTACCATTACCAAAGTAAACCCCCCCATCCAGGATCATGTTTCCAACCTTTGCTCTTAAGTTGCAGATAAACGTGAAACAAAAGTAGTTTGAGCTACATACTATGGTTCCTCTCTTTTTGGGGAATCCGGGTTCTGCGAGGAGGAGTAATACTCTTACTACCCAAGAGTTTTTACCAGTGTGCTGGTTTAAAAAAAATAATAAAAAATAATAAAAAAGGAAAACTATCCTTCAAGCAACCCTTGCCTCCCTCACCGCTTTTATTCCCCACTTCTGCAATCTCAGCCCAGCCAACAAGAATTGGCTCACGGTGAACAGTTTTCCATCCAAAAAATCCCACACCCAAACTAATGACACATTTTTAATGGACATTATGAGGAGAAACAAAGAAGCCAAGGTAAGGGCTGGCAAGGTCATTGTACAATGGTGAGAAGTGGGCCAGGAATAAGCGTAAGTTACACAAGTCATCAAATCCAAAGCTGGAGAGGCACACAAGAACACCGCTGGACCTCCTTCCTCATTATAGATACCGCCGTCCGTTCATAGCCACCCCCTAAATGGCCTGCAGCAAGCGGGGACCCAAAGGATCCTCCAGCCAAGGGAAGGAAGCACGAGAAGCGAGATGCCAACAAGAGTCCCCTGGCAAAAAGCCAAGGCATGGAGGAGCTCGGCCTTCTAGGTCCTCTGTTTCTCTGAGGGGGGGGGCATCCTTCTTTCCCTGAGCTAGCTTCCCACAATTCAGTGCTTTCGTCTGCTATGCTTCGCTTCTCATTTGCCAGACAAGTTGTGTTTCCTAACTTGGTCTGAGAGGGGTCTTCAGCAGCAGCCCGAAGAAAAAAAGAAGACGACTTGACTGTCCCACCGAAGCTCAGCAGAGGAGCACTAAGGTTGTGGAGAAGGAAGGGAAGGAGGTGTGGAAGAGGCAGGCATGAACCAGGAGCCCCATGTGGCAGGCTGTGGGAGCAGAAGGGAGAATCTAAGAGAATCATCCAGTAGCAACTGCGCAGAAGGAAATGCATGGCAGCCATGAACTTCCTTCCTTCCTTCCATCTTCTGCAGACTGTAGAAAAGAAGGTGTTGTCTACACCAAGCCCCCAGAGTTTCTAAAAGAGGTGGCCATACCCTAATGCATTGTGGAAAAGGCACACCATGGAGAACAAGCACTGGGGCCATTTAGGGCAATCTGGGGCAAGGGGGAAACTCCAGAAAATCATCGCTGCTCCCAAGCCCCATTTGCCTTTGCACAAGGACTCAGGGTTCCTGCAACCAACTAAAATTTCAGAAGGAACATAAGATCCCAAAGTGCCCAGCAACGCCCCCTTCCCAGCCCTCACCCTGCTCTAGTTAAAGTGCTCGTGTTAATAAGATGGTGGCATCAATGATCCGTTTTCAAGGAGAGATGCTCTGGGAGGTGGAGGCCTCCTCGGTAGGCAAGATTTCGATGCTGCTGTCTGGCTGGCTCTGGGAAACACTGTCCGTCAGCTCCATGTCCTGGGCCTGACTGGGCGACAGTGGCTGTGGGGAGCTAGCGGTGTCAGTACTCGGGGTGGGAGATTTTCCCTCAGACAGGCCCAGCAGCTCCTGGACATTGCGGGGTAGGTCCTGAAGGAGAGGGAGGAAAAAAAGAGTGCAATTGTGAAAGTTAAGAACAACAATGTATTCCCTCTGTTCATGGCTGGTTGAGTTGCACCCCTGCTTCCAGAGCACACGAATGCTCAGACCCACAGGGGAACAGAAATGGAGAGGTACAGATTGCATTCTTCATTAAAGAAGGGTGCTGGGTTCAATTCCTGTCATCTCTGCTAGGAGGTGATGGGAGTGGCCTGTGCCTGAGAATGTGAGGAGCTACTGCAAAGACTCTCTTAGAGGGCCAAAAAGGGACTTCACGCGAGGCACCTCCTGATAACAGACCTGATGCTATTCCTTCTTATAATGACCTTCATAGAAGAAGACAAGATACTAGCATGAGAACTTGTTTTATGGCCCATCCGAGTAGTACTTGCTTTGCTATATTACTGGATCACATCGGAGTTGAGAGGGAGATTTTCAGATCTTTGAGAGGTTGCCTTTTTGGACTACAATTCCCACAATCCTCCATGACTATGGGCCATGCTCACTGAGGGATTCTGAGAGTCATAATCCACACACAGCCATGGCAGAGCATTTAGGATTAGGCCAGCTTAGCAACGAACGCAAAAGCAGCCTTCCACACTTTATTCTTTATCATTTCTGAGTTCCTTTCTCTTTACCTCTCAAGAGGAGCAGCTTATCCAGTGCATACCCAAGGAACTTAATGTCACAAGAGATGGGGGCAGCTTTAAAAGAGACTTACAAACTCACAGGGGACATGTCTGTTAGTAGAATATAATTGCAACCCTTATTTTTAGAGGCAGTGGCTGGAAGACTACAGTGAACGATGGCTATTGCCTTCAAGCCCTGCCGAGGGACTTCCGCAGAAATATTTGGCTGACCCCTGTGGGATACAGAATGCAGACTCAGATCAGCCTCCCACAAATCTAGTGATCTTCAGATATGATAGATTACAATTCTTACATGCCTGGGAATTATAGGAACTGTAGTTCGGCACAACTAAGAGGGCATCCGGATGGAGGAGCCCAGATCCGATTCACCTTTGTTCTAAGTCAACAGATTACTTCCTACATGCCATTCCTAGATTTAGGAATTTTTAAAAGTAGAACAGATTGGAGGCAAAGTGATTGAGCCATGAACTGGCAACTCCTCCTTTCATAAACCTATTAAGTGTTTGTTAGGACAGAATAAATACAGAAATGCATGTTCCAAGTGCAAGATACTTAAGAGCCCTTAAAAAAAAATAAAATTAACAAATACAATAACCTATATGTTATTACTGGGCTTATTATCTCTGAGGATCATTATGCAGCCAAGACGGCACCATCCATGAATAAAGTTGGAGGTTTCAGCAGGCTTGGGAAAACACCGGGATCTACACAAATGCTCCCTGTTCCAAAAAGAGCAGTGGGGGAGATGTCTTACAAGGGAGAAACCCTCAAAATTGTTCACAGTGAGTAGTGGGCATGCTCAGTGGCCATGGAATGCTGAGTGTCTGCTGAAGGAGGCCAAATACCGAGCTGGAGAAATAGAAGGCAGCAACCTGCAAGAGACCAAGATCTGCCCTGAATTCTAAAAAGAATGCTGCAGGATGCTGTTGCAAGGCTGATTTATGACAGCATCACTGTTGAGAATGAAAGTGGGCACTACTGTACTTCTACAGGGGCTCTCCATGTGGCAGCTCTCGCATTTAAATCTCTTCTCAATATCCTTTTGAAGCTTCTGGAAGAAACATTTGTTTTTTCCATTCTGCCCAGTATGAAGCCATAAGCAAGGGAGAGGCTGTCATCTCTTATACACTAAAGGATCTTGTTCCATCCATTAACATTAGTGGATATAACCTTATGTGGATATAAGAGATGGAGAAAGAGCCATATGGTCACCTAACCTGCCTGTCACAGGGATGGGGGGAGGCGGCTAGCTCCTCCTCGAAGGATAGCAAGAAATGGAATAGCTTCATTCTGTGCGAGGGGAAACTCACTGGAGTAGCAGTCAGTTGCCTGTAGATTGCCTCAGCCCGGCATAAGATGTCTTCGACACTCATCTTCATGGTGAGCTCATTGATGTGCTGTGAAAAGGCAGACACAGAAAGAAAGAAACATAAGTGGTTAACCAGGAATGTAAAAAAAAGGAAGGGAGGGAGGGATACAGTTCAGAAAAGGGAAGGGCAGAGATGGTGGGGAAACAGAAATGTACATTTTGGAGAAAGAAGCAATATATGACAAAGGGCAGATTATGTATTTCTGTAAGGTACCTTCTTATTGCAATGCTGCAACACAAAAAACTCAAGTACCACACATTGGAATATTTTGTGCAAAATGAGTTATGAAACTCTAGCACAGAAAAAAATAGGCACTATAGAGACAGAGGGCCAAAATCGTCTGTGGAAAAAGGGGGATCTGTGCTGTGAAACAATAAATGGTGCACCTTCACCAAACTTCTGGTTTCACTTGTCTTTTTAAGCTCTCAACACAAATTTAAGAAACCATCACAGAACAGTGTTGTTTAAATGCACGTTGGAGGCAGGGAAGGAAAACCAATACAAGAGCACACAGAATGTTGGGGAAGTGTGAATAGGAAGTGATAGAGGAAGAACAGGCCCTTTCTTTGGTGTGGCTTCACAGCAGATAACAGCACACACTTATCTTCAGTATGAGGAACGGGGGGGGGGCATAGAAGGAGCCTCCCTGAAGACTGGAAAAGCTTTGCGAGTACACTCAGGTGTCCCCTGGGCAATGGTGTGCAGCCAGCCAATCCTTCACTTCCAGAAGCGTTGCACCGTAAATTCACTTCAATCAATGCAGCACTTATGTGCATGCAATTTATGACCCACCAAGGGAGAAAAGAAGATCTAGCAAATGGCCAAGATAGCCTTATTGAAGCAGGTTGCTTCTGGTCAACAACAGTCTAATGACATTTTAATTTGTTCTTGATTTTATTTGTATTCCATATGCGTCCATAATTTTAAATTGCAATGCTCTGATATGAATAAAAAAGGGTAAGAGAAGTACATAAGACTTAATTCCCTTGTTTGGTTAGTTGGCTTTTTTTTTAATTTGAAAGTTTAAGTGGTAAGTGACTCCACTTCCTCTCTGCCTTAAGCAGAGTGGAAATGGAGGCGCACAGGCATGTGTGCATGTGCACACACAACCACACATACACACACATATGCGTGAGACGAGAGTAAGATTACAACTTCCAAGTGCTCACCTTCAGGATCTCATTGAAGCCAAAGCCAGAATTCATAAGAGTTTCTCTCTCTGCATCTAAAATCCCACAGGCCACCAGCAGATGGAAATTTGGGCACGGCAAACCTGTCCAGAGTACCTGGAATGGCAGGGAAGACATAAGTAGTTCTGGCTGTGGAAGGCTGATGACTCTCAGAGTACAGCAAACTCTGCAGCGTGAGAATGCCCAAGTACAGTGGTGCCTCGCTTTACGATTGCCCCGCATTACGACAAACCTGCATTACGACAATCTTTTGCGATCGAAATTACAATCGCAAAATGATTGTCTGAATGGGTTTTTTTCGCTTTGTGATGATCGGTTCCCTGCTTCGGGAACCGATTCTTCGAAAAATGACAATTTTCCTCCAGCTGATTGGCGGTTTCAAAATGGCCGCCAGGTAAATAAAATGGCTCCCCGCTGTTTTCTGGGACGGATTCCTCACAAGACAGCCACAGAAAATGGCCACCCTATGGAGGATCTTCACTGGACGGTGAGTTTCCAGCCCATTGGAACGCACTGAAGGGGTTTCAATGCATTTCAATGGGCTTTTTATTTTCGCATTATGACGTTTTCATTCTACAGCGATTTCGCTGGAACGAATTAACGTCATAATGCGAGGCACCACTGTAAAACAAAATCCTCAGATATGCCTGTTGCTGTGTTAGTGAGAGGTTTCCCACTTCAAGGAGCGAAGCTGTAGGCTGGTACTAATGACTGGCACCCACCATCCGCCAAGGTAAAGCATCTCTACGTCGTAATGCGAGGCACCACTGTAAAACAACATCCTCAGATATGCCTGTTCCTGTGTAAGTGAGAGGTTTCCCACTTTAAGGAGCCAAGCTGACTGGCACCCACCTTCCACCAAGTTAAAGCATCTCTGATGTACACTGGTTTCTATGGCAAGTCTGAGTTTACAGCCTGTCTTATCACTTGACCTTATCAAATAACACCAAGGACTAGATCAGAGCCACATTTCCCTATAAAAAACCCCAGAGCCTGGGAAAGTTCCTTTTTCCCCTCACTCCAATTCCAAAAATCCCTTGTATCAGCACAGCCAGCAACCCTGTTGGATGGGAGATTCTAGGAACTAGAGTTCAAAAAAGACAGACAGACATGTCTGCAAGCCCTGATTAAATTAAATAGACCAAAGAGCTGGTGTAACTTAGCTCCACATGTCCCAAGGGGCTTCGTAGGTCTAGACCAGATAATCTGTTAGTGTTGCTTCAATCCACCAATTGCAGGAGATTCTGCTTTTCACTCCCAGAAATCTTGTTTCAGCAGGAAGCAACTCACAGCTGTCTTCTTCACATCCAAGCTGATACTGATATTCAGATTTTCTTCTTCTTCTCCCACCTTTCTTCAACACTAAAATCTAGCATGACATACCCTATACCTGTGAAGATTCTCAGTCATCTAGATAACTTCCAGATGTACCCTATGTTTTTTGTTCCCTCCCCATCCCCGACTACTCACATCCAGAACACCTCCTGGCCCTGTGAAAAACACCCCAAAAGATTTAACCCAATCTCACCTCCCATAGCTGAAGAATTTCAGAGAAGGCAAATTCTCTTTTGAACCAGATCAAGATCCACCGGAAACAGAAGCACAAAGTGCCGGACTCCTTCGAGTCTGGAGAAGTGGCAAACCAACGCAGAAGTTAGCAACAGATTGTTTTAGACCAGAAGCAGGGGACCACTTGTAGCCATCCCAGTGTTGTTTTACTCTGGCTACCATCAACCCCAGCATGAACGGCTAACAATATAAATAACAGGAACTCAAGTCCAACAATGTTTCCAAGGCCACAGTCTGTAATCCCTGGGATCAAGACAGGCACCTCACTCGCTTTAGTGTATGCTGCTTTCTTTAAACTTTCAAAGGCAGTCTAACTGAGGAGGTAAAGACAAAGTGTCCTTTATCTTGAGCTCAAAATTCTTCTATTTTCATAGAATCATAGAATAATTGAGTTGGAAGCCATCGATTCCAACCCTCTGCTCAATGCAGAAATCCAATTTTCCTTTCAACGGTAAACAATTTTGTTACAAACGCTCTCTTCCTCTTTAATAGTAGACGGTATGTCTTCCCAAGGGCCCTTTTTATTTTAACTTTCAGCATCCCAACAACCAGTAACAAAAGTACCTAGGAAATCACAGAGCGCAGGGTCCAGGACTCTGAGAAGCAAGGTGAGCTGGGACAGCTGTCGTTTCATCGACTCCTGGCTTTCTTCAAAATTGCGGTGCTGCAGAGACAAAAAGGAGAGAGCCTGAACAAGATGACAGAGAGAAAAGTCTTGACTTCACCATCCAGGCTTCCCCAGAAATCTTTACCACTGGGTTTGTACTTCTAGGATGACACATCAGCTGCTACAAAGTTCAATCACGGCATTAAGAGTTATGGAAGGAGGACCTGAAAGGTCATCTAACCCAATGGAGTGAAAACTGCAACAGCTGGCGGTGAAGGCTTCTGGGAGTTGCAGTCCAAGAACAACTGATTAACCCAAGGTTCAGAACCACTGATCTAACCCAATGGAGTGAAAACTGCAGCCTTTCAGATGCGGTGGAAGCCTTTCTGCAGCTTCCATCAGTCCCTGACAGCACAGACTATGGTGTGGATGCTAGGAGTTGTAGTCCAACAAATTCTAGAGAATCATAATCTGCTCTTTCCTGACATAGCCCAACTCATGAAGCTAATTCCAACAGTCTCCTACTGCAGCATCTCCAATAGGTGTCTATTCAGCCTGTGATTAGAAACCTCTGATCAAGACAGTCCAACTTCTGAGACAGTCTGTTCCGCTGTCAAACAAAATAGACGACAAGGAAGTTCTTCCTAATGGTCAATCAAAATGCTTTTCCTTACGATTTGCATCCAAAGGAAGTTCACTCCATCATCTATATGACAGTGCTTCAATTATTTACCTCTTAATGCTTTCCTCTCCAGGCTCAACATACTCAGCTCCATCAAGCTCTTCTCACAGGACTTGGTCTCCAGTCCCCTCATCATCTTTATCACTTTCTTCCTGTATCATAGCTATATAGGGGTGGGCTCTCTTTCAACAGTGCTCCCAAACCATATACTCACCACCAGATCCATGAAGCCACAGAAACACCAGAAGGCATCCACTTCGTTCTGGGTGATGTAAAGAATGGGGGACAGAAGATCACTCATGCCTTGGACATAACCTGAGCAGCGGAAGCAAACACAGAGAACTGTGTTATGTATTTTCAAAACAGCTGCGTGTCTCACACTACAGGGCCACCAAGATCCTTCTTCTTTCCTCTGGGGCCTTGCAAACTGTCAGGATAGGTTACAAAATCAAAGGACTGATAAGCATTTGGAGCAGATGGGGAGAATTCCAGAAAATGGCTGTGAAAAAACCTAACAAGAATTTTGCAGGACTCTGGCATGCGTGCATGCTTCTCGACACAGAATTCAATATCCAAAGTATTTTCTCAGCATTCATTTTCAGTAAACGGAGAAACCTAAAATCCCAAGTACTAGTCCACAGGGCTACTGAAAGATAAATGAAAACAAGTGGGCAATGATCTGCTTATTCTGGCACCACCCACGCCCTTATTTGATTCTAGAGGCTGGCTAGACCACTCAAGGGAAACATCCACTGAAATGCAAGGTTCCGTCTCTCATAATACAGTTTTGTCCAACTGGAAAAAGTATGTGCTATCTCTGTTATTATGGGACTGCTTATCAGGACAGTTGCTGTATTCCCTTCTTCTCTTGACTGTGATAATGCTGCATCTTCCTGCCTGCCTGCATAATTAGAGGGCCCTCCTCGGCCACGTTAGCCAGGTGCCCTTGCAAGCTGAACAGGCCCTACCTCCACATTATGCTCCCTCTGTCTTGCTGATTCCGTTCCCTCCTGCAAACTCACCCAAATCAAAGTTGTACATGCAATAGGTCATCAGCACGTCGTTCAGGAGCACCAGGCCAGGGTTCTCACTGCCTTCGTAGAATTTGTTGTTCCTATCTGTGCGGCTCACATCCCTTTCTGCAAGGCACAGAGATGCCACTCAGTTATTTATCGATCATTTTGGTTGCTTTTCTTCCGCAGGCCCTCTTAGCGATAACCAACAATACAAGACACAGAGGAATACATTAAAATCAACCCAGAGCCATCTAGCACAAAAGTGCGCCAGAAAAATGGGAGCACTCTCTCAGGAAAAGGCACGTGGCTCTGAGTAGTTATGGGTTCAGTCCTGGCATTCCCAATCAAGTGGGGCATCCGAAGAACTGAAACAAACAATTACAAGGAAATGAAGGTGTAGTATCTGCTTCCCCATTATGGTGCTTTCTCGATGTGTTGAGCTACAACCCCATCATCCCCAGTGAACACTTAGGGATGATGGGGACGGTAGTCTAACTAACACTTCCAGAGACTGGTGGGTTTGGGAAGACTGTTTGAGGGCTTGATGAAACACTGTAAACTGACATGTCTTCTCTGGATGCTGTCACCCACAAAGGTGTGACTTTGGGAAGACTGTTTGAGGGCTTGATGAACTGACATGTCTTCTCTGGGTGCTGTCACCCACAAAGGTGTGATGGGTGGCCATCAGCAATATTTAATAGAATTGTAATGTCTTAACATCTTGTAATATATTGAAAATATGGACATGGGGGTATTTTTATTTTACACCTTTATAAACTGCCTGGAGGGCATTACCAGTGAGGTAGCATATAAATATTTTAAGTACATAAATAAATAAAAGTGAACAAGTTGATAGGGACAAAAAGTTATCCAGCACCTAAATGATCTGCCCATTTGATTACCTTTTCATGTAGTCACAGAAGCCTGTTTATTACCAACCCTAAAACAACCCAAGAAGCACAATAGCCTCAAGGAACACTGAGACCTAATTAATCCTCTTTTCCTGTTCCATAAAGGAGATTCCTGCAAATACCTGCAGCCGAGTTTTCTGTTTCTCTTTCTTAAGAGGAAAAAAGTGTGAAGCGATTACTGAACGAGGATCAGGAGATTGCAGACAAGCCAAATAATTTATCTGCATCAGTCTTTACTGCAGAAGATGTTAGACATATAGCTGTGCCTGAACTAGTTTTGGAAGACAGCTGGAGCAAATGCTGAACCACTAAATCAAATGGAGGTGAAAAGAGGTGAAGTGCTGGAGCTTATTGTCAAATTAAAAGCTGGGACATCACCGGACTGTGGCTTCATCAAAGGGAAATCCAGCTTTGCCAATATTTCAGAATTCTTGGCAAGTGTTAACAACAATGCAGAGAGAGACGCAAGTAGACTTTGGATGGGTCAATTTAGCAATCATGGTCTAAAACAGAACAGAAAATCACAGAGTCCTTTCGGTGCCTTAAGGGCTCGTCTATCATACAGAAAGAAAAAGATCAGAAGAACAGGCAAAATCACACCCCTGGGCATTGTAAGTCAAACAGGAGGTGTGAGTCTCCTCTAAAACAAGGCATCTCTACCTCCCTACTTTTGTTTTAGTTTCTTTAAAACAAGAACAGAGAAGTGACATTCTCATCACATGTGGTTTTGCTGGAAAGGGCTGATTTGATAGGTCCAGGGGAGTACGAAATGATCCCCACCCTGCCATCAGATCCTTCAAGATCCATGGCAGACTGGATTTTTTAAATCAAAAGGAAGCTGAATGTAAAAAAAAATAAAGGAATACTTCTACTGAAGGAAGATCCTCTGGGATGTGTACTCATTCACAAATTATCTTGAAATTAGACTGTAGCAATATGGTACAAATTTATTGAAGACTGTGGAAACCCAAGCTGACTGAAGTGTTCTAGAAGAATCTCTCCAAACTGAGGTCCTACACCTCTCAAATAAGAAGGGAAAGGCTAGTCCTTGTCTAGTGTGGAACATGCCCAGGATAAGGCTCCCCCCAGAAATTCAGACAGCTTTGGCATCAATAACTAGAGACTGGAAGTCAAGAGAAAAAAAATGCCCTATAATGCCTCTACTTCTGGCAAGCTGCCATGGAACTTCTCTGCAACCAGCTTTCAGTCCTTGGCACACTGTCTGGCAAATGATGCCCAGGTATGCGAGAAGAAAAGTGGGGCCATTCCCTCAATACAGGTTGAATTCACATCTGGTGCCCCATTCCAGGCCAAGACAGACAGTTCTATGTGCTGCTCTCAATGGGTGGTTCTGGCTCCTTCTGTTGCATCTCCCAGTGGCTCTGTTTTCCTGCTTAGCAAAGAGGCCTCTTGCCAAGGAAGCTACAAGGGAGGTGCTGATGGTGTGCCTTCTGTCACCTCTGTGAGTGTTATGAAGAGCATGTGGGAGAAAGAAGTTCTAATCCTTAACAGGAGGGATGACCAGGGATTGACAGCAATGTAAATGCTATTGCCTATGTCACAAAAGCTCCTAGGATGGGGGGGGGGGTTGCCCATTGTATCAGTGTGCTACTGTTGTGACATGGGGGAGCTAAACAATACCATGTGAATTATTGCCTATGTCACAAAAGCTCCTAGGATTGGGGGGGTGCCCATTGTATCAGTATCCTACTGTTGTGACGTGGGGGAGCTAAACAATACCATGTGAAAATACCTCTGATGAGGGTTGGAAGCATGGAGCCTGCATGACGTTTTGGCCTCTCTCTGCTGTAAGGAAATGTAAAATGATGCATCTGAACTGCCAAAAGATATGTTGAGTCTTCACAGTCGGTGCAATCAAAATGTCAATTCTCAGTAAACAGAAGCAACAATTTAAAAAGGAAATCCTACACCATTTTGAAAGGAAGGAACTGAAAATAAGACAGCTGCTATTTGAATACTTTTATATAATATATGACGTGGTCACATTTGGAAAAGTATGTACTGCTTTGGTAGCCCCGTTCTTTCAAAAAAGGAGATCACAGACAGGAAACACATGTTAAAAGAGAGAGAAAGCAGCCTGCAAGTGAAAGCTAATGTGTTTAGGAATTTTAACACAATAACTGGATATTGTGGGGGGAAGAGACACATAACAACCCTTTTATGAACCATTTTTATGATTTTGGTCACCAAATACAAGACAGCAGCAGCAGGAATATGCTACAAGCTTCATGCATATGGTCCTTCTTAAGAAGAAAGACAAGATAAAAATATTTTCAAACACTCGATCAACTGATCAATCAATGCCCTTCTTGCAGGCTTCCAGAAACCTCTAGTTGTTGACTGCAGCAAACACAATGTTAGCTGAGATTGCTAGTTAGTATGACTGATAAACTCAGTAAACATTTGTTATCCCTGAGTGTTTCTGCATGTATTTTTCCCCTTCTTTAGTACCTGTAACATCAAGTTGCATTACAGACAGGTTTTTGCCATCAGGAAGGAAAAAGAGAAAGTGCATCAACAACGCTTGTTGCAATGAGGGGTATAAAAGCACTGGCCTATCAAAACCCAGAAACAGAATGTGTACTGACCAATAAGACTGCGGTATCCCCGCAGCAAGGAGTTCCTTTGTTCCTGCTCCTCGCTGACTGATTTCCACTGTAGTTTCATGCGGAAGTACTCATCCCTGGGAAAGACATTAAGGAAAGATATGGACGGGGTTTTTAAAAGATGCACCTTGAACTTTGATCCATAGACTGACCAACCCTTCTGGATCCTGATCTAGGAAGTTCCAGGCCCAGTTTTCCTTAGAACCACCGATCTCCACATGATCCACATGATCTTCCACATGTATCCTTACGTTTTCCGCCTCACTTGGGCTTTGTTCTCCTCTGTGGTGTTGTCCCAAGAGTAATAGCCCAAAAGGTATTTCCAGGCTTCCTTGCGTAATAGCATGCTGAGACCCTGGTAGAGATAAACAAAAAAGAAAAGCCAGGCCAGTAGCTGTTAGGCTAACTTATTACGGAACAAAGCAATCAACATACATCTTCTCTAAAGCTGACATTTGAAGAAAGGAAACGAGCACAGATATCCTTCCTCAAACTTCTCCCATTACCACTTACTGTATTTTTCTGTGTATATGACGCCCCCATGTGTAAGACGCCCCCACTTTTCTAATCCGAAATTAAGAAAAATAAGTGGGGTTTAGCAAGCGTAGGGGGAAAGGGATCAAAGCCCTGCAGGATCACTTTGATCCCTGCTTTCCCCTCCACTTGCTTTTGTTCTCTCCTCAGCTTACTTCCGTGTATAAGACAACCCTCAATTTTTAGTCTAAAGATTTTAGACAAAAGTATAGTCTTATACACAGAAAAATATGGTAATTGGCCAGCAACAAATGCCTTCCCATCTGAGCTTACCCTCTGTGCTTAAACTTACCCCTGCAAAGATCCTCCTGCGCAACCCAGCAGGGTCCCTCACACGCCCGTCGGGACCCAGGTGCTGCTCCCATTCCTGCTCTGTAACGGGGGTCTCCCGTTGGACAGGTGGCCGCTCCCCTAGCCGTGTCTGCTGCCGTGGGTGCAGAGAGAAAACATTATGAAAACAAAGAACTGTGAAGGAAGCATGACGTGCTTGTATGTAAAGGAAAGACACTTCCCAAGGGGGAGAGAGACAAACAGCAATGGGACTGATGGAGATTTAAGAAGAAGGAGGAGGGCTGGACTTGACGATCCATAAGGTCCCTTCCAGCTCTGCAGTTCTAAGATTAAGAAAACATTTGGAAAATTCTTTCCTCTTTGAAACAAGCTTGCACATTGCTATGCCATTCTTGCACAACGGGAGGATCTGTCTGCGCACCTTCTCCACATGGACTGGGTGGCAAGCCTAGATGACAAAGAGCCCCAGCATAAAATAAAGACAAGGTCTCACAATATTAAAAAAAAAAGAAAGAAAGGAAGAAAGAAAGAAAGGAAGAAGGGGCTGTTACTCACTGAAAGAGCTAGACATGTCTCAGCCGATTAATTAATTATTTCCAGATTTCACTAAGTGACCAGTTGCGAATTAATGATGTTCAGTAATAGATTATCAGGGATCTCTGTAGACACTATTAGTTTATTGCTCCTGAAGAAAACAAGGTAATTAATTGGCTGAAATGAATTGGACTTAATTTGTCTACTTCACATTGGGCTTCATCAGGGTTTTCCAATTGGTTTGTGCCTTTTTTCCCTGAGATAACATGAGAAGTCCTGCTTTGTTTGCAACAAATACATTTTTCAGAGGAAGATAAGAAACAATTGACAAGCTTACACTAGGCTTGCCTTATCTACAACAGCTGGTCTTGTTTTGGATCGTGAATAAGCTTCTGCAAAACACCAGGGTTCCTGGAATACCAGCCAACATCACAGTAGGTTGCAAACTACATCCTGGTTTTCTAGTCCTCAAGAACAGCTTCTCCAGTTGCCTGCATTGATGAAGACAGAGCCTTGCATTCTGACCCAAGGAGGAATGGGACTGGGAGACGGGATGACTTTGACTTATTCATATGTTCGCCACTAACTGTCCAGGCAAGACCAACCATGACAATTGGCAGTTGTGCAACATCTGAGCATCAAGCTAGTTTGGAATTAAATGAGCACAAGTCCACTTTGACCTCTAGCTCCTCACTTGATGAAAAGGGAATTCCTACTAGGGGCCCAAAAGCATCTTTCCCATTTCTGTTTTTGTTTCTACAGTAGGAATGGTCTACTTCCTGCTCTCTACTGTTCTTGGACTGTAACTTCCATCAACCCTAACCTGCAGAGACAGAAGAAAGGGATGATGAAAACGGTAGTCCAACAAGGGCCAGAAGGTACAAGCTGTCCTATTAATCAATATCCTCCCCTCAACACAGTCAAGGCGGATGCAACTCAAGCCAGTGGGAAAGAGTGGGTGATGGGGAAACAAGGATTGCCAAGGCACCCACACCCACACACAAACACCAACCAGTTACACCCTCTCTTATGGGGCATGCCTGCTACATGGCTTACACAGGTGATCACTTCAAAGCCTGTCTCATCCTCAACATTGCCAGCAGCTGGGTCCCCATGGGCGTGCTGGGCAACTCCATCCTCCTGATGCAGAGCTCCGCGGAAGAAATTGGTGACTTTGGAGAAGCCACCAAAGGTGGCAGCGTAAGGATCCTGCAGAAACCGCTAGGGAAGAAAAGGACAGACAGAGCATGTTTCAGGATTATGCTTTTCATTGTATGCAACGTGTGTTAGGCATCGTTTTTGGCAGGTAGAACTGCCAGGCAGAGGGTACTGGTCTGGTTTTAAGGGCACCCAACAAACCATCTCACATGCAATCTAAGTTTGTACAGACTTTTGTAACACTGTGGCCAGAATTCTTTTTGCTATTCCATGGCCAGTATAATGTCAACAATATACTTTTCAGCAGTGAATTGCCCCAAGGACAGAAAGTCAGCACAGGGTGCTGACTTTTCTATCACCAGTCAAGTCATGTTACTAGTATGTCTCAGGAAATGTCTATGCTGACTTAGCCTTTGACAACTCTCTGCTCTTGTGACACCAGCAGGCTCAACAAGTAAGATTCCAGCCTGAGTATCAACCAATCTGAGAGGATACTCATTCGCATCCTGTCCATACATTGGAAAGGTTGGTTTTGTGGCCTAATCTTTTAGCAGAAGCCCGCTGGCAGCTTCTTTTGCTTCCTCCTTTATGTAGGAAACTGCTGTAAATCATTTTGGGGACAACAATGGCTGGAAAACGTGGTATAAATCACATACAACAACGATACGCACAATGCCTGGACGTCCAAGGGTCAGACGCCCAGCTGTGCAACCAAGGCCTCTGTTTCCAGCCTCGTCACTCTGTAAAGTATTCCCTGGAAACAGGATTCCCCTGCCAGGGAATGGAGGAGTGTGACTCCAGCAAGACTCCTATCACACCTAACACCGCATTCCTCAAAAATCACATATGCAATCCAGCATTTTAACAACAGGACATCCCAGCTTCCCTCAGGGAGGGCCTTGTGGTGCAGTGGTTAAACTGAAAGGCTGCCTTCAAGACCACAGCACCACAAGGCTCTCCCTGAGTTCAATCCCAAGAGGCTCTGGTGGCTGAGTCAGCCTTCCATCCTTCTGAGATGGGTCAATTGAGTACCCAGCTTGTAGGGGCCGCGGGGGAGGAGAAATGTGTGGCCTGCATAATTAAATTGTCAACCCTCCAAAGAGTGTTGTAAGCAATATGAAGCAGCATATAAACAGCATACTTTGCTTTAAAGTCCCAGAACCTCCTGGCTTGACTTGTACCAGCCCTCAGAGACCCAGTGCCCTTCCATCCTAAATGCTCCCCATATCATTTAGATCACTGGTTCTTAACCTTTGTTACTCAGATGTTTTTGGACTGCAACTTCCAGGAGCCTTCACCATCAGCTCTGCTGGCTGAGGTTTCTGGGAGTTGCAGTTCAAAAACACTTGAGTAACAAAGGTTAAGAACCACTGATTTAGATCTCTTCTCCCCCACTTCCATACAACCCAGGGTTCCTGGCTGTTCAAGAAGAACTATCTAATAAATCCCCTTCCAGACACCAAACGCTGTATAACTTAATTGTGACATTAGGGAAATTTGAAGAAGAACCTTACCGACACCAGATTGGGTGAGCTGTCGTCAAAGAGCTGAAGCTCATTACAGGAATGAGAGAGGGCATAAGAGTCATGTGTATAAACCAAATAGAGGCGGGAATCTTTGGGAGACCTGGAAGGAGAGAGGGGAAACTAGAGTGAATCTCTTATTGTCCCAGGCACTCTTAGCCCTGGGATGCACATTCAGTGACAGGGGAAACTAGGGGTGGGGGCAGATCTTCCCACTACCCCAACAGAACAGATGATATCAGAGAGTTGGGGAGCCCATGTGAAAGAAAGAAATGGTCAGGAGCATATTTCGACAGTTTAAGCTACCCAGTCAGGAGATCCCCGTTTGGCTACAATAATACGCATCTTAGTTACATTCTGCTTGGATTATGCAGGACCGCCTTTAAATGGTGTTGAGAAACTCCACCTAGTCCAAAATACCATACTGAGACTGTTGACCAAAACTGGTTACAGAAAGAAAACAAGTCTTCTGCTACAACTTCACTGGCTGCTGAGCTATTCCCAGATGCAATTCAAAATGCTGATTATGACTTGAAAAGCCCTTTACAGCTTGGATCGGAGCTACCTCAAGGACTGTATCTTCGCATGTAAGCCTCCCTGTCTTCCAAGATCTTCAGGAGTTCTGCCGCTTCAAAGGCATGTCTGGAAAGAATACCTCAGAAGGCCCTTTCAGTGGCTGCTCTGTTGTGGAATTATTTAATTTCTATGTCCTTCCACAGCAGGTTAGACTGGCTCTCTTCTTCTTGTCCTTCTGTTGGAAAGAACAAACCTTCCTTTCTTTTCAGGCAAGCTTTGAGCAACTGGAGGAAATGCTAAGAAAAGAGTTCAAATGGGAGATACTCCCAAGTTTTCATGTATTTTGATGGGTTTACAAAGTTGTGTAAACTGTTTCCAAATGAACAATCTTTTATTATATTCATAAATTTAAATTATTGTAACTTTTTACAATTATAGTTGTTTGCATTCGTTTTTTAAAAACCATTTTGCAAGCTACCTTATGACTCCGTGTCACAAGGATAGAAATAGAAATGAATAAATAAACGAGTCCATTGAAGCAGCAGGGGGGGCCGGGGGGGATGAAGGCACCATGGGCATTCTCTCCAGAGGCACTGCCCAGCTCCATCCCATAGCCACTATCCACCTGCAGAAACCCCAGGCATAGCAAAATTGGCTACCCTACCAAGGTGCTGACTGGAGGAATGGTCTACCAGCCAGCATGTGGTCAGGTGAGCCTTTTGTAGATTGAGAAAACCCATAGGAAGTGAAGGCCAGCAAGGTGCCCATTTACTGCTCCCTCACCTTCCTGGTCAATTGGGGTGGAGGGAAGAGAGAGAGAGAGAGAGATGGAGAAAGAGAAAAACACACCCCAAGTGTCATGAGCCATCCAAGTCCCAACTTCAAATACAGCCCACATTCCCTGCATGGGAGTGTACAGCTTATTACTGCAGAGCAAGATGGTAAAGTCCTTCCAAAACGATACCGCTGCAGATTTCAGGTGGGGAATCCTATTTTCTGAATTCCATTTTTAAGATGCTGGAAACAAGTACATTAGAAACAAGGACTTTTGCCACAGTCTCTGCCTCACACACTATGAGCTATGTTCAATATATTAATATAAAACATTAAATTTATTCTTTTTCTCATGTTTTACTGAACTCATGTCATCCTTTCCTATGAGAACTCATGTCATCCTTTCCAGGAAATCATCCTTTCCTGAAGATTTACTTTACGAAGCTACTTTCCCATGTGAGGTATAATAAGTGAACTGTTCCTACGCATTAAAAATAAAGAAACAGAAAAAGTAGTTTTGAAGATGCAAAACTCTCTTCTTCGGGCACATGGGAGGGATACTATGAGCTTGAGAAACATGCCAGCCATGCAGGAGCATAGGATTAGGTGGGGCAGGGTTTTCCACGATGGAGCTGAACTTCCCCCACCATTTTCTCTTTGGAATAAACAAAGGCTCACTCACGTCGCTAAGATAACGTATTTGCAAAGAGCTTTAAGAAGAGCCTTGGTGCCTCCGCGGTGAAAGTGCAGGGCCTGAATAGAGACGCCGTCTTTGGTGATGAAGATCAAGTACGACCAGCCCAGACCTGGTTTACTCTTGCGAATAGATTTCAGCTCAGACAAGCTGAGAGAGAAGGCCCACTGGCCACGTGGGATAGGAGATTTTGGACCGGAAGCTGGTGAAGAAGGAACAAGCACAAAAAGGAAAGGTTTAATATAAGAGAACCAATCTTCTCTCAAAGACTCACAGAATAATTGAGTAAGAAGGAACCTATAAAGCCATCGAGTCCAACCTCTGGTCAATGCAGGAATCCAAACCAAAGCCAATCTGATAGACACCCGTCCAATTTTCCATAGAAGATCTAGCTAATTATTCCTAATTGCTTGTCTTGTATCTCTTTGTCAATGTCACAGCTTGGAAAAGCTAATGTGGTGATTGTAACCCACAGAATGTCCACCAGTGGGACCAAAAAATCAATGTGTAAGCCAAGGGGCAGTCATCTCCATAGTTCGCTTTGCTTACCATTTGGTTCTTCCTGGACCCGAGACCGCGTCCCCACTGTACTGATCACAGCCCAGTCTGGCTCGTACCCTGGATCAAATAGCTCTTCTTCAGGCTGGCTGCCCCCGGAGTCCTGGTGGGCGGAAAGCTAGGTTAGGAATGGAGACAATGGCCAAACCCTTGCAGACGTTGCCACGCTCTCCGAGGAAACATTTATGCAAAGAATGACTTCAAAACAGTGTTCTTTTAACTCCTGAGTTCACTAAGAAGAACTTCAGGCAGGAATCTGAATGGACGCACAGGGCATCCTCTTGCAAAAGAAGCACATGCCTCTCAACTTCTCTTGCGTTAACACTGATGAGGGGGCTCCTACATTAGCATCTGACCCGCCTCCAGGAGTGCCCAATTCTTAGGATGCTGGAATGCAAAGTCCTCACAGGATTTCACTAAACATGAGCTTCCTTGTGTGAACAAGGAGCTGCTTTGCTGCAGTGCCTGTAGAAATTGTTTTTGGACTACATCTCCCAGAATCCTCCAGCCAACATGGCCAGTGACCATGCTGCAGGGGTGGCATGACAGATCATATTTGTCACTCGAAGGCATGCTTTCTCCAGCAGTACTAATCAATCTAAGATCAATCTACAGGTTGTAGAGGTTGCACTTAGGAGCTAAGAATGGCCAAGGGCAATCACACACGGCACAGTCTCCTGGCTGGTGGCACCCCGTCTGCAGAATCTCCCCAAGGCAGAGATTAAGGCCTCTTTCACCTGTTGACCAGCTGATGCCTAAACATTCATTTAGAAAGGCCCTGAAAACATATTTAGTTGTGCAAGCCATTGCGGAGGAACAAGCAAATGGTGCCATTCTTTACCTTTAGATTTTAACTATTTTTAGAATGATGCTTTTGACAGTGTTTCTGTGCTAAACGTAGTTTTAGGTTGCCAACTGCTCTTTGGGAAACTGTGATATACAAATGAAATACAAATAAAATAGATTCATGCATTCAATATCTTTGCTATTTCAGTGATGGTGCATCAGGTGTGCTTTTCTTTTCTTTTATTTCCAAAAACGTATCAGTTTCCCAGATGAGAAAAGGTCTACTGTCCACCTAGAAAATACAGCTAAAGAGAACTAGATATGTTCTCAAAATCTCTCTCTCTCTCTCTCAAAATGAGCTTGAACTCCTGATACAGAAGAGGCTTATATAAAAGGTGTTATGGAAGCATGGTAGAATGAGGCCGTGGAATGTACTGATTGAAACGCATGTATTATCCTGATGAATAGAGAGACCAGGAAGGGAGAAAGGGAACTATTGCTTATAAAGGATATACAGTATGTGGAAATCTATGAATTAGAGTGGGGGAAGTGGGGAAGAATGTCAAGTAAAAGTCAAGAAAATGATATATTAAAAAGATGTTTAGAGACAAACTCCCACTAGCTCTTCCACAGTCTTGCAGCAATTTTCCTTTGGGAATGGATTTAAAAACAACAGAATTTCATTAGCTTTGCTGACACTGAGGGCCCATGACAACATGGTGTTCTTTAAAGAACAAGTGAATCAGAAAAAACTTTTGATTCAGAAGATTATTAGTTTAAAGAAACATTTTATTGCCTACATCAAGTTCTTAGGACTTAACTTACTAGATATGGATAGAGAATAATAATAGCAAGGAAACAGGTCTTACTTTCTTGCTGTACATGATCTGAGTTGCATCGGAGGACTCCTCCAGAGGTGTCCATTGTAGCAGAATATCCGAATCCTAAATAATGGAGGAAAATATCTCAGTGAGACCCCAAAACTCTAAAATACCTGTAACTATATGCAAACAGGACATAAAAGCAATTTAGTGTGCAATAACTGACTACTAGTATAATGAAAATGAAAAATGCATAGCATGTTAAAACAAACTGTACATATAAATGTGAACTATAATATAAATAAGTGGCAAATTAATCTCTTTATTCCCCAAGCCAAAGGAAAGAAGCCATGTAAAACCCTGAATAATCACATCCTGTTTACTAGTTCTCCTCTGTAAGAAAGGGAAGCCCCCCCCCAAAATCACAAAATGTTATTTAGGTCTACTCTGTTTCAAGATACCATGAGGCACTGCTTATCTTTTTCCAAGCTAGATCTTTATGCTGGCAACACAGCTCTTTATGGCTTTGTATAACACTGAGATGTGACCCTAAGAACAGTCCTTTTCTGTCATCGTAATATTTGTAGTTCAGGAGATCATGTTGCTGTAGGAGTTAAGTACACCTCTTCTCCCTGTTTTTACAATTTCAAGCTAGCCATAAGTAATGCTAATCAGTTTGTTGGTTATGACATGGCAACCTACAATTTAGCAAAAGCAGAACTAAAAGCTTCTAAACTTCTGTGTCAAAGAAGAGCAACAGCACGCAAGCCCATGGTCCTAATAACACCCAAACAGTCAGGTTCCTCATAATAAATTCCTACCCTCACCACATGTCTGCTCAATTCCAATCATTACTTCTCCACAACTCACCTTCTCAATGATACGGATAATGCCTGGTATGAGGGAATCCTGATCAGGATGTCGCTTTGCACTGGTGTGTAAATAAACACCATCTTTCTCAAACGCAACCTGCAGCAAAAGAAATTAAAATAGATAATCAAGACAGGAGGAAGCCTCACCCTAACCATCTTCCTTCCATTTTTCTTTGCCATATAGTTGACAGAAGGACATTCAACCTTGACCCAGCTGAAGATATACTTTATGACCAGCCCCCGAGGATGTCGCTTTGCACTGGTGTGTAAATAGACACCATCTTTCTCAAATGCAACCTGCAGCAAAAGAAGTTAAAATGGATAATCAGGACAGGAAGAAGCCTCACCCTAACCATTTTCCTTCCATTTTTCTTTGCCATATAGCTGACAGAAGGACATTCAGCCTTGACCCACAATATCCCATTGTAATTCCCAAGTACATATGTGGGAAGGAAGATTCATGGCTATGACACACATTAAGAAGGCTTTTCAACGTTTCGGGGGGAAATATCAGCTTAAAAGGCGCCAAAATACAATTTCTTAACTAGGGGGAAACAATAAAGAGACACAGTGGGGAATCGAACTCCCAACCTCCGGCTCTGTGCCTCCTTGGGAGGGGCTGGACTCAATGACCCATAGGGTCCGTTCCAAAGCTGCAGTTCCAAGATTATTACGATTACTACCCACCCGCTGCATTTTTGCGGGTGGTGGTAACGTACCGCCCCCCCCTGCGCAAAGAGAATAAAAGGCAAGGGTCCTCGAGAGGCAAACACCTCCCCCCTTCCCTCTCTCTTTACTGCCGACCTCCGTTCCAAGAAAGCGAACAAAACCTACCAATTCAGGTAAAAAATCTCCCTTACCTTGCAGCCTCCCACCTCCATTCTCCCTAGCAGCTACTTCCGGAAAAACAAATCGTCATTTCCGGGTCCATTCCGCTCTTCAAGCGAGTCGCTCTTTTGCCGCCATCATGGTTTCTGGCGAGAAGGACTTCACGAGGGCGCCATGTTTTCACGGCGGCGGATGGCGCCATCTTGGTATAGGGCAAAATGGATGTCTTTAAAAAAAACTCATCAGAGGTCTAGAATCTAGATTATTGCATAAATTATATCAATCCAGTCCTTCGTGTGAAATAGGTGGGCATGAATTTTGGTATTGAAACTTAAGTGTTGTTAGGGAATAAATTAGTGGACGAAATAACGTGAGAAAATAAAAACGGGTGGGAAAGGGATGCTTACTGCACCCAAGTGCATAGCTCCCCCCCCCCACAAATCACTTCGATATAAGGAGACGAAGAAATGTCTTAAACTTAGAAATCGCAAAACAATATTGCGGCTGACACCATCGCATTAACTTTAACTTTAGGTTTAAAGTGGAAGCGATTTTCCTCGTATGATTGAAAGACTGGACTATGCGGATAAGCTGACCAATGTCGTCCTGCGCTTAGAAAATGGTGTACGGCTTTTACTTTTGAGCAGAAACTGTGTTTACTCTTGCTATTTTTGAACTCCCACAGCAAAGGAGTCCCACCACCTTGAGTCTCCTGCCGCCATCTTTAAAAAGGGAGACCTTTCCACGGCTACATGGTCTCCATTTTATAGGCACATGGACAAATGGAGACGGGCTCATATCCAGAACGCGTCACTTTCCGACTCCATCTTTGTATTGGGCATAATGACGTGTGAGTCCCCCGCCCGCGCCCTCTTCGCCATCTTTGTAAAGGGAAGGGTGGCGGGTTCCGCCTCCATGTTTGGTGAGGGCAACCGGAGGAGGCGGAGTCGTGGGGTGGGGAGGGGGAGGGGAGGTTGTTGTTTAAAGGAGGTGGAGAGAGGGGGTTAAGTGTCCTGGGAAGGGTTAAAGGTGAGAGGTCAGGACTTCGACTAGTGGCCCCGAGAGGGGGTGGGGAGGCTCTGGTGGTTAACCGTGGAGAAGGATTTAAGAGGTAATCGAAGGTGATCTATTTTCCTCTAACATCTTCCTTCGAAGTCTCGTGGATTGGGTGGTGGTGGAGGGGTCTGTAATTGTTTTGCCCATTTTCGGCTTTCTCCCCCCCCCTCTATAACCTTCCTCTGTCCAGTAGTATAATAACCTCTGTTTTCCCTTTCCTGGCTTAAATGTAGCTTTTGCATAAATGTATGTGGGTTTTGTTTGTTTGTTTTTTTGCTTGAAGCCCTAGGGCACTTTCTCCCTAACCCTATTTCTGATTTTGCCCCATTACAAAGGGCCCCATGTTCCCTCCCAAAAGGACCCAAGGGGTTCAGGTAGGGTGCTTTCTCCTTTCTTTCCCACTAGGCTGATGGCCCCTTCTACAAGAGCCTAAAGTCTGAGCTTCTTGACCCTCCTGCCTTTCCAAAACTTTTTGGATCTGTCTTCTTTCTCTTTGTAAGTAGACTTCTAATCTTGGTGCCTTTTCTCTCACTGCCCCCACCTGAAAAGATCCAGAAGGCCTGTCTCTTGACCCTTCCAGGTGTATTGGCTGGTTTCTCCCCTCTGGCTGATTCAAAGAATCCTCGTTTCTCTTTTTCCCCAACCTCGCTCTTTCCATTCCATTCTCTTGCTATCACCTTCTATACTGCATTTTCCTATCTAAAAGTGCAGACATTTTGGTTTTGTTATTCCTTTCTGGGTTTCGAAAGAGCCACTGGGCCTAACGTTGAATAGAGTTGCAATACTAAGTTGATGCATTGGTTAGCTTAGTCAACTAAAATTGTTTAGCCTCCAGTTGGTCTGGTTGCAACTTGAAATAGTTAATTGTTTTGTAACAGAAAATGTGGGTAATGGATATTTTCTGAAAGGCATTTCACTGGAGCATTGAAACTTTGGCTGAAATCCAGTAGTAAGTTACAAGTAGAGCAAACCTGTTGACTCACCAAATCCCCACTGATTACTGTATATGGGCCTATTCTAGTTACAACTTGCTACTGGATTTCAGCCATTACTTTTTGGATTACAACTCCCAGAATCCCCTAGACAGAATGGCCAGTGCCCATGAAGTTCTAATCCATAAATCTGCAAATTTTTCCAAGTCACTATAAACCAGCAACACATTTATTTTAAGTATGATTCAATGCCTCTGTAAAGCCAATATGTTAAATTGGCTAAGACTTGTAACAAATGACTAGAGAGTCTTTAATTCTGTAATAGGGCCAAGCGTTAATGCCCTTCTGTTCTTGTTTGCTTGCAGGATGACAGACATGGCTGACAACCATAAAGAGAGTTGGGCAACCCTGGTTGCTGCAGCAGAACTTTACCGGCGTCAAACGGGCAACGAGATCGTGCTGCTCACTGCCTTCAGAGCCCCACCGCCAAGCAACTTCAGCTATGCACAGCATGGAAGTGGGGCTTTGGCTGATGCCGTTCAACGCTACCTCGAAGATATTGCAGTGGTTCACAAGACCACTGCTTTCACCTATACGGCCCTTCCTCTTTCTGCTGCTCGCCCACCTCCCACCCATGGATCCTATTCCCGGAGCTTGCCCCCTACTTATGCTGCAGATGAGCCGGCCCCACACAGGACACCTACCCCCCAGGGGCCCTTGCCACAGCCTTCGGAAACCCAAGAACCTGATGATGAAGATGATGAAGGAGACCGAAATACATTAACTGAACTGGAGCAACCGAGTGGGAGAGAGCATCCCAGCGATACCATGGGTAAGCCTTTGTGCACTCAATGTCATCTTAGTTGTTCTTTGGCATGTTCATATGTTTAAATCCTACCTTTCCATCAAATAGCTGGAAGTGGCTTGCCACCCAATTCTTAGAATGGTACACTCGGGGGAATGTGAAAACAAACACAATATTTAAGGAAAACAAATCACGTAGCCAAAAATAAATTCCTTAGGCATCTTGAAGGCTTTCTTGAAAAGCCATATTTCTTGAAAAGCACACTGAAAGTCCGGCAGTGAGAGAGACCTTTGAAAGTACATATGTTTTTATTGAAAAGTTATTTAATTGTAGGACTTGGGTGTAATGAGATTTATTACTAGTACAGAGGGTTAAGAAGAAACCAGACTTTATGTTTAAGAGTGAAGAGATGCCTTCGGAAATATTTTGTAACTATTGTGTTGGTCAACGCCCTTCTGTAGCCAAGATTTTAGCAAAACCTGTAGCTGCTGGAGAAGGGTTTTTTTAAAGCGTATATTGAACATTACATTATTTCAGTTATATAGCTGTTTGTATGTTGTATTTTACTTTTTGGTACTGTTTTAACACACTCATATAAAAAGCTTGTGTAGATGTGGTCTTCTGGTGAAGATGTCTGCAGAGTTCAGGTTCCATCACCAAAAAGATCTATTACAACTACCCCTACCCCATCGAACCTCACATAGCAGAAGAGAGACAGATTATCATCTCATCCTTTCTCTAGATCACTAAATAAATTCATATAGGAGTAACACTTGAAATCCTAAAAAAAAAAAAAGCCCACCCTTACTGTGTTGACTAAATCTGTATCACATAGCAGAAGAGAGACAGATTATCATCCCAGCCTTTCTCTAGATCACTAAATAAATTCATATAGGAGTAACACTTGAAATCCTAAAAAAAAAAAAGCCCACCCTTACTGTGTTGACTAAATCTGTATATTGATAGGGGGTGCATTCTCAAGTGCTTCCCAGCATTTCATGTAGGTTTTCTCAGGAATACTTACAACCCTATTTAAAAAGTGCAGTATCCCCCTCATTTTGCAGATGGAGAGTGAGGCAGAGGACTCCCAGAAATCCTGGCCAACAGAGGTGGTGGTGAAGGCTTCTGGGAGTTGTAGTCCAAGAACATCTGGAGGCCCAAGGTTGGGAACCACTGCTCTAGATCACTAAATAAATTCATATAGGCATAACACTTGAAATCCTAAAAAACAAAAAACCCTTACTGTGTTGACTAAATCTGTACATTGATAGGGGGTGCATTCTCAAGTGCTTCCCAGCATTTCATGTAGGTTTTCTCAGGAATACTTACAACCCTATTTTAAAAGTGCAGATGGAGAGTGAGGCAGAGGTTACCCATGGAGTGTGTGACTGAGTGAGGAGACACAAACTGGTGCCTTAGAGACAGATGCCTTTTGCTACTTATGTCAGTTTGGTGTTTGATAATATAATTTTAGAACTGCAGAGCTGGAAGGGACCCTATGGCTCATTAAGTCCATTCCCTGTCAAGGAGGCACAGTGGAGAATCAAACTCCCAACCTCTGGCTCGACAGCCAGAGACCTAAACCCCTGAGCTATCTCCAGCATATCTTATCTTCTCAGTCTGAGGCCCTTCCTACTGAACTCTCCCTGTGTTGTCCATTTGTTGAATGAACATGATACCCCTGAGTGAGACCTAAGCACAGCTGGGGGCAGCAGAGGTATTTTTAGCTACCAGGGTTAAGGAATCCAACCTCATGCTATGTGAGACTGTTGGCCCGTGTGGGGACCTCCTATATGGTGACTGACAAAGCAAATGGGCCAAGTCTGTTGGCATCAGTTTTGAGCCTTAAAAGTTCGTCCTGGTGTCCATACGCTGCTATCTCCTAGGCATCGCTGCAAGTTTTTATCTTTCTCAGTTGCCCTGGGCGCTCCTAGGCCACCTTTCCCTAACCATACATCTTCCGGATGCATGAGACCACCACGCCTTCACCTATGGCCAGCTAGGGTTGCTTCTGACTTATGGCAGTCTTATGAATTAAGGGTCTCCAAAAAGTCCTATAATTACCGTATTTTTCGCACCATAAGACGCACTTTTCCCCCACAAAACGGGGGTGGAAAGTCTGTGCGTCTTATGGAGCTAAGAAAACAGATTATATTTTCCTGTTTTCTTCTCCTAAAAAATTGATGCGTCTTATGGAAAGGTGCGTCTTATGGAGCGAAAAATACGGTAATGTGTTGCAAACTCCAAGCTGTAGCTCTGGAATCAATCTATCTTCTGTTTGGCCTTCCTCTTCTACTTTGGTCTCCCAGCGTTTACCTTTTTTTTAATTGGTCCCAAATCCTCCTAGAACAAGTTTTAAAAGTAGTAAGTAAACGTTAGCCATACACATTGTTACTTTTGAAAAATTACATCATTATGTTATTTTTCTCCAAAAGTAGCACATTGCAGCAACATCATTGCTTTTAACACGTTGCTTTTTAATTCTGCCTGATCCTGATAATCCAATCTTCATTTATAGATCATGTCTGAAGTCATTGAACCATCATTTCTTCCTTTATATTTACATGCCACCCTTCTGCAATGCACTGAAAGTGTCCCTTAGCACCTTAAAGAAATGGAATGGGTTCAGGGTACTAGCCAATCTGCCTTGGGGTTATCCAAGCTTTTCAGTCCTCTTAGTCAATCCATTTAAGCAAATGAAGTTTTCATTCACTAAGTGACCCTTTTGATCCTTAAGCTCAATTATAGTATTAGCACAGAAACAAAAACCAAATCCTAACTGTCAAAAGAAAAGCCCAGTAGCCTTTTGCTAAAAATTCTTTGAGTGACATTCTACCCCATGGCCAGCCACATGCTCTATGAGGACCTTCTGTTTTGTTCTCCCTTTGAACTTCCCTTATCCCCCAACAGCCAGCCAACATTTCACAGCCATTAAGCCTGCTCAGTTTGTATTGGGCCGTTTTGTGAAGTGGCCTTGACTCTTTCTTCCAGGGCAATGGAAAATACCTTTTATGAGAAACTTAGCCCCTCTACGGATGTATATCTGTATCCAGTTTAGGGTAAAATTGCTCATAATATCCCAGTTAATCCCATATTCAAAAATTAGCATGCTGATCTTGTAAATTAAAGATCAGCAACTGCATCATGATGCCCCAAGAGTTACAACCTGCCCTGTAGCTTTCATCATCATAGAAATGAAAGGATCAAGAAGTACCGTAAGCACTATGAAGATGTTGTTGCCCAGCTATTGTAAAGGGGCTATCGTTCTTCTTGCAGTTCCGAGAATAGTTGCTGACCAGTGGCAAAGGCCACTTCAGATCAATTTTTTAAATGGAAAAAATACAGTTTCTGTGTAAATTTCCTTCTGTGCACCATAAGCAAAAGAGGCTTTGAGCTGTGTAGGAACACCCATATTTAATTTGAATCTTGATGTGGAAGTTGTCAGAGAAGGGTATTCAGAAAATGAACACAAACAACTTGACTGCCTTGAATGATGATTTGTAGCTCCCCAGTGCTTTAAGATCAAATTTCTACTCGTTCCTCTTGGGAACTGCTGAATCCAAAATGTGTAGAAACACTTAATTTTAATTACTTGGGTGGAGATTTCAAATCCACTTGTGAGGCTAACAGGTAAGGACACCTTTCCACAGAAGGTGAGGAAGGGGGTTAATTTTATACAGCATCTTATAAAAATTGTTCTTTAGTCAAAATACAGCTGCATTAAAATTGGGTGGAAAACCTTTGGCTTTCCCCCCACACACACACTGTTTCAGACTTCAGCCTCCCATTAGGGTGTGAGTCCTGATGGTCTCCTCTCCTGGGGGCCCAGGAGCTGAGGAGTCCCCCCAGCAAAAAAGCCATAGGTTCCGGCCTGGTTTGGTCACTCATGGCAGCTTTTAATGACAGGCACAGAGTCAGTCCCAGCTGCCCCTTCCCTCATGTTCCCATTTCTGGCCCTGGGCGTAGTGAGTCTGGCTAGGGCCCTAGTTGTCTTCACTGACATACAGTGGACCCTCAACTTAGGGATTTAATCGGTACTGGAATGGTGGCCACAGGTCAAAAAGTCTGTTGGTCGAGTGTCCATTTCCCATAGGAATGCATTGAAAACCCATTAATCCGTAACCGGCCCAAAGAAAAAATACCCCCACACACGAAAAAAGGAAATAAATGCAAAAAGCAGCATCTTACTGGTCCAAAGGGGTCCCTCACCGCTGCCAAAGTTCTCTTGAGGGCTTCCCCACCGCTGCCGGAGGCCTCATGGGGGTCCTGGGCTGTCGCCATCACCACTACCGAAGCCCTCCGAGGGCTTCTCCGCCACCACGGGAGGCATCTCGGAGGTTCCCCCCGCCGCCGATCGTTCCTCTGAAGCATGATCAGGGGTTGGGGGCTGCAGGGCCAGAGCTTCAAGCCCCCTGACCTCTTTCACAGCCAAACAGGCTGGTTGGGAGGAGGTGACCCCCCCCCTTGTCTCCTGTCCCTGTTTGCACTTCTGTGGAGATGCAGAAGATGGGGGGGTTTTCCCAGTGCTCGGCTGCCTCCTCCCATGTTTCCCCTTCCTCCGATGTGGTTGATGATGACCGAGCCCTTCAACTCCCACCCTCTCTTCAATGCCAACCTCTCTTTCTCTTCAACAGTTAAGGGGCAGCTGCAGCCGGGTGCCAAAAAAAGCAAGGCTGTGGCCTGTAGGGTTTCATGCAGGTCAATTTTTGGTCCTTCTATGTGTATTTTAAACAAACGAACACCCTCCACTTCCAGGTCTGTTTGTGATGGATGAGGATTCACCGACCCAGGACTACGAGCCCTTTTTTGATTCGGATCTAGAGAGCACCGATGGTGAGTGGCAGCAGGGGGGATCAAATGGAATAACAAGGAGGAACCAAAAACCAGCTGGAAACGTCCAACTATAACAAGAGAACAGCTGCACCAATATTTTGTAGTTCCGGATGCATTGTGAGAATCTCTCGTTATCAAATAAAAGGTTTTGATTTCATTCAAAGCTTCTGAATTATTACCTGCATAATAAGGAAATGCGTAGTTTGCAGAAACGTCCAGTACAGAAGCTTGAATACTGTGTGGGAAAAACATTGCTTAACAAAAGTCTGCTTAACAGTATGGTGGCCTTACAGCCTTTGCAAGTTTCATTTCTTTCCATATGTTGCATTATTAAACTACTCATTCACCAGAGTACTCCGAGGTATAATGTAGCAAAAATGTAGATTACAAGAGCAAAATAATGAGTCAGTAAAATATAATAAAATATAATAAGATTAAATAATAAGATAAAACCAACAGCAATACATGAAAACATCACAGGCTATTAAACCAAATTAAAACCCAACAAGCAGTATGACGATAGCTCAAAAATGGCATTAAAACATCACCTTTTGTCCTAACCTATCTTGTTTTTTGCCATTGTGGCTACAAAAATTGAATGCATGCTTTTTCTAGTATGGACGTGCTATAGATTAGGATGAGTAGAAGTTAAATTGTAAAACTGGTTCCAGCAATGTCGCAGGAGTTGGCAGAACGACACATGCTGCCTTCGGGACTCCAGCTCCGGATTTTGCCTCGAGGTTAACTCCTGAAGCCTTTTCCATGAATGGATATAGCCACAAGGCAGTGGGGGTTTGAAATCGGAGTTTTCCTTCTCCTAGATGGGCTGCCTTCCATGGCTGACGAGCCCCACCTACCCGGCCACAGGCTATTAAACCAAATTAAAACCCATCAAGCAGTATGACGATAGCTCAAAAACGGCATTAAAACATCACCTTTTGTCCTAACCTATCTTCTTTTTTGCCATTGTGGCTATAAAAATTGAATGCATGCTTTTTCTAGTATTGACGTGCTATAGATTAGGGTGAGTAGAAGTTAAATTGTAAACCATTATTGATCTTTGGGAGGAAATTATATTTTCTGGGTACTTGGGGTCTCACTGGGTGGTGACAGTGGCAATAGGTTAAATCAGTGGTTCCCAACCTTGTGTAATCCAAGGGTTCTTGGACTGCAACTCCCGGAAACTCTGGCCAGCACAGCTAGTAGGGAAGGCTTCTGGGAGATGCAGTCCAAAAACCACCTGGGTTACCCAAGGTTGGAAACGACTGGGTTACAGTAGTAGAATCTAGTAAGGGGCTTCCCATGTTCTTGAGCAAGAGGATATACTCGGGAACCTTAAGACAAGTTATAGTCTGAATTGTAGGACATGTTGTAGCACTCTGGGTCTTGGTGGACTGTGGACCCTTTGCGAGCATAGCCAGTGGTGAGAGATTGTGGCAGTTGTAGTCCAACAGTATCGTTGCACACAAGCTACCCACCTGTGCTTTAGTTTTAAAAGATCTTGACTAGAGATGGGGGTACTTGTATGCTAATTTCCCTACGCA